CACCTTGACACAAGTTTCAGCTTTCAGGCAAGGACCGAGCGACAGACCAGCTGTGCTAATCCACCTCCGCTTCCCTTCATCTAGAACATCAACAAACAGCATTTTGGTGGGGCAAAAAGACACCACAAACAGCACACTTGGAAGGACGAAACAAAAGGGCGTCTTCAAAAAATACGAACAAGCTTTGGGGTGAGATGGTGCCTTGGGGGAGCAGCAATGTCAACACACATTATACCTTCCAGACCAACAGCTCCAGCGTTTCCAATGCCGTACTGCTCTCTCTCCAGATCACCCACCGACTTGTATTGCTGTGGCATTGGTGGAGTCTGAAAATGCGGCAGTCCCAAAACCTGCTGGCCACGTACTGCCCCCAATGGTGGGCCTGCGAACACTGGTGCACCTCCCTGTGCCAATCGTCCACGCTGCATTGTCTTCTCTATTTCATCAACGGTGTTGAAAGTTGTTGGTAGTGGGGGCAATTCTGGGACACCTGCTTGCTTGATCGCCTCCTTGAATGTGTCAAAGCTGAATGTGCCTCCATTTGGTCTACCTGCTGCAATTGGAATGTTGCCGCCTTAAACACTGACAGTCCACAACAAACAACATGCATCGTTGCCACCACTGCAAGGTCGGTGTCTACAGAAAATTCTACTAGCTTTCAACGTTCCCACACAGCCATTTTCCATTCTCCAAAGGCAGATAACCCACCTTCATCGACAGCTGCAGCAGCAGCCGCGGCTGCGGCTGCAGCTGCAGTGGCAGCCATTACCGCTGATGCTGGAGCTGACGAGCTGGGGGTAGCAGTAGGACTCTCGTCACCACTCATCATTTTGTTAATTTCTTCATCCGACATGAAAAGTTCCGATGATGCCTGAGCGTGGCAACAACCACAAGTCATGTCAGCACAGAGCACGGGTCACAACCAAGTGTTGAGTGTCAATATGAACATGCCTACAGGTCCAACATGGTGCTGCTGTGCTCTGGCAGCAGTGCCACCAAAAAAGCGATCACCTGTGCAGGTGTTTGTCCACTTGCCCCCTTCTTTGCCCAAGACTCCTTGGCTTTCCTGCGCTGCTCCTCAAAAGCTGCCCTGTCTTGTTGGCTCATTGCTCCTGAGGTGTTGTCGCTATCCCCTGCATCGTGCATCCACTCTGGCTCCCCTGGCCAACCTCCTGAGCCTCCTTCTTTGTCAGCTGACACAATAACCACACTCAACCAAATGAATTCACTGCCAGTATGCTTCCAAACCAGGAGATTTTAACCAACGTCTGTGTCCAAACAGCCAGCTCAAATGACATTGTCTCCAAAATGCCCTAGAAACATCGAGGCAATCAGTGCATTTTCTCACATTGGGACTTGTCCCTGTGGCCATAAGATCCCCATCTTTCCCCTTTGCTGCGCTCTGACAGGCGGCGCTCCAATCCAGGAGGGACACGCCGTTCAGGTGGGCGTTCGGCTGGAGCAATCCTCACATCCTCTGCTTCCTTGTTCGCATCCCAGCGACCAGGCTGCTCACTCCGGGAACGCCGTGGAGGATTCAAAGGCTGCACACCAGGAGCTGAAGCAATCAACCCCAGAGCCAAAACAAGGTTACGCAGGTTCAACAGGAAGCATCCGGCTGATAATTATCAAGCTGTGTCTGTCAACTCTGGAACCAATTCCTGCTTCCACGTGAGAGATAGATGTGCATGCACATAGTCTACACAAGGGCGCACAAAAACCTACAAAGCCCCCCTCTGCCTTGTAGCTTGGCCTTGTCGTCAGCCATTTGTTTTCTCCCGGATGGTCAGACTTCGGAGGCGCATCCATCCCACCGTCGTCCACCAGACGGCTGTGTATTTGGCCTTTGGCCAGACCTGCAACTGCAAAATTCTATTTTCAGCCTCCAATCGCTGAAATTCAAACATCTGACAAGGCAAGAGGCTGTCGTTGCCAAGCACACTCCTGAGGCAACCTACCAGCAGGGGGATGCCAACCTTCTCTACCTCGCCATCCACTGGGTGGGCGATCAGAGACAGCTTCGCAAGGCCTGCAACACACCCAAGATGCCTGTTCGGACAACTTCCACTCCAGGCGTACTATTTGCGAGGTCATTGTTGGCACCAAGGCCAAACTGGGCTAATTGCCAAAACACCATGGCCTGCTGCCATACCCATGTGCACATCGATGGCCACACAGGTTGGGCATTAAAACTACCAAAATCGTACCCATTCCCAGGTGGACTCAGGAGAATCCAATCAATCTGATCAGCCAAGTGCCTCAATGAGCGATGGTGGCCCAGGATCATACCTTATAAGGGCAGAGTTGAAGCCAGACGGGGGTTTGCTCATATCAGGCCTCTCCTTGATCTTCAAGAGCCACTCTCTGTTTCACACAACACAGCTCCACAAGGCTTCAGCGATGATACCACAAGACAGAGCCTCATGTTGCCGCCAAGGCAATTAGCCAGTTCCGGACTTTCCAAGAGGGTTGCTGACAAAAATTCGAACCTGGGGAAAACCCACGATTGGACGGTTGACGCGGCCCAACAATGGCAGGGCGCACACGCACTGCGCCGGTGCTGCCCACAAGCAGCCCCAACTGCGACACATACAGAAGCGCACGTCTAGCTGGCGCAGAAGCGCATTATATTCCGTCATCAATGGGAGAGGACGGCCGACGCTATGAAGAGGCGACAAGTGGCAAAGTGTCGGGTTTGCCGCAGAGATCAAAATCTGCACACCCTGGCTTTCGGATAGTCCCGATCTCGGTCCTCACGGGCTGCGATTGCCGCCAAAGAAAATTGTTCGACGCAAACCCGCGTCCACAATTACTCCTCTTGCCCTTTGCGAGAATGCACAAACCCGCGTTGCGCACCTCGTATATCTTCGGATCCTGTTCCTCTGGCCCCGCTGTCCATCAGCACCCTTCTTCTCTCCCAGGGAGCCCGAACCACCCCTTTGCATCACAGGCAACAGAACACCCATCGCGTCGGCCCACGGAAACGCACGGTGGCACAATCCGGCTGCAGCTGCCACCCCTGTCCGCCCCCCAAACCCTCCTCACACAATCATGAGATTCCGCGATGCCGCATTCGGCTGCCCGCCCCGCAAGCGCCCCCATCCTACCCGATAGGTTCATCGCGCGCCGCGCTCTCGGCCCCATCCTTCCTATTATCTTGCAGGCACTTGGAGTTCGCGGCGTCCGTGGCGTTGCCCTTGTCCCCCATCCCCTCCCCCATGCTCGTCGGGTCCGTCGCGCGCGGTGCGTCCACAGGGCCGCCAGGGGCGCGCCACGGGGGAGCGTTGGTCCGGAGAGCGGGCGCAGGGGGTATGCGCCCCGGCAACTATGGCGAGGTCGGAAGCCAACAAAAACCCAAACTGATTATGCCCGGCCTCATCCAGCGAAACCCGGAGGGTGCCGATGTGGTCCGCGAAAACCCTGGTGTGTTTTTTGGGGCAGTGCAGCGCAGTGTTTTTGCAGTGCAGAGCTGTGTTGGTTCCTCTGCAACGGGGGGCTGGATATGAGGGGAATGAGGGATGAACAAGAGAGAAATGGCGGAATGCGTCAGAATTCAGAAATCTTGATGATGATGACAAGAGAGAAGTGACAGCGACGTGACCCCGTGGCGGCAATGATGGGAACAGCGAGCGCGGATGTGGGTGCACGGCCTGCAACTGCATTCTAAGAGCATCTTTATCGGTCGGTGCTATTGCACCGGCGGAGTTGTACAGGAACGGTTTTCATTGGCTGCCGTGCCACCTTGCTAAGGCGGCATTCGCCCAATAGCACCGGTGCTATTGCTCCCCTGCACGCATCCGCAATGGTGGGTGCTATGACTACGCCGAATAGCATCACTGCAGCACTACAATGTTCTGCGCGAATAGCACCGGTGCTATTCTGGGGAGCTATTCGGCCTCGAGCGGAGCTATTCTGGCCCCGAATAGCTCCGCTGGGCGCCGAATAGCTCCGGGGGAGCTATTGGGGAGTTATTGCTCCCCAACCGTTAATGATGGTTTTTTGACGTGCGGAGCTATTCGGATAGCCGAATAGCTCCGCCGGAACAATAGCGCCGACCGATAAAGATGCTCTAAACGCTCCATTGCTCTTGCCTGTGAACGTGCTGGGGTCACACCTGGCTGCGGCCTGCTTCACTTTGACAGAGTCGGACTTGCCAAAGTACACACACCTTTTGCGGTTTCCTTTGGGGGTCCTCAAGAACAGGGAAAAGTGTTGCCATCGGGGAAAGCTGTACAGATTCCGCGGTGCACTGTGACTGTTCCAGTTTCGCAGCAGAGCTTGCTCGCTTGCCTGCCAGAAGGTGGTTGATACCAGAATATTGCTATGCCAACCAAAACACCCCCTATGTGCACCAAGTTCAAGATCAGGGTATCATGGCCTCGGATGTGTTCAACCGGAGCCAAGCGCATGACCCACCATTGTGATCGCCTCACAAGCTCATTTCGAGGTACTTGCTGTGCAACAGTTCCCCTTTCCAAATACGACTGCGATTGTTCCCAACACTTCCTTCAGAGTCGTCAGTGGCAAATTGCAGTCCATTTCTGCTGAGCACGACTCTGTCTAAACGATTCAATGCATAGTTTATTGACTGATTGCACATGCTTCTGCCCTGGTATCCTCATGGGAAACAGGCAAGCCCAACAGTCGACATTACTTTGCAGCCAAAACGGCTAACTGGTCCTGTTGGAGTCTTTCACACAAGCGACACCGCTGAGGCGAATCTGTCGGTGAGCAGGCGGCAGCCATGTCTTAGGCTGAGAGGCAATACCACAGAGAGGGAAGAGTCCAGTCCAGAGATGCCCTATCAGGGTGCAAGGCTGCACACAGGCAAGCAAGAGAGTTCTTATGCAACGAACATGTTGCTGGACTGCATTCCCCATACGATCCTGCATTTTACGACAGCATTGTGCACAGTTCACCCCACCCGATTCCACATTCAGGGTGCCAAATTGTGGTGAATGTTCACACTTGGGTGCACTTGGCAAGCAAAACTGCGAACCCTAGGTTCTCCTTTCAATTGCCTCAGCCATCGTATTTGATCCCAGCATCACGCCCGACGCTATCGCCTTGTCCACTTTCCCCTTTCTCCGCTTCTCAAACAGATCATAGCCTGCTGTCGCCTGTAGCTGGTCCATGCTGATCGGATTTTCTTGCAAACTCAGCGTCTGCAATGAAGTGCAGTACATGAGAACGCCCTCCGGAATTGACGCCACGCTGTTCTTGTCCAAGGTGAGCGTCCTGAGGCGTCCCAAGCGCTCCAGGCCCATTGGGATTCCCTGCAAGTAGTTGTCCGTTGCATCGATGTCCTCCAGGTCCGAGCAACTTCCAATCGACTCTGGGATCTCCCTGAGCTGGTTCTTTGCCACGTTGAGTTGACGCAAGCGGGCCAGGCGCCCGACTGACTCCGGCAAGGCCGACAAGTTGTTGGCGGCAACGGAGAGTCTCTCCAGAAGGGTGAGCTCGCCCAGGCCCGCAGGCAACGAGGATATCGAGTTGTAGTCCAAGACGAGCACCTTGAGTTGAGAAAGGCGCCACAGGTCTGGCGGCAGGTGGTCTAAGTCATTCTTGGTGAGCACCAGTCTCTGCAGCCGGGACAGGGAACCGGTGAAGGCCGGCAGGGCACTGATGCGGTTGTTCGTCGCATCAATGGCCGTGACCTTGGAGCCGATATCTCCTATGGAGACCGGCAGTTCCTGAGCGACGCGAAAACCAGGACAGCAACTCAAGCGGGAGCCCGAAGGCGCGCGAGCCACTGTCACGCACCACACGTGAAGGGCCAAGCTCAAGTAAGCCCTCAGAAGAAAGCAAGGAACGCTTCCGAACTTCCAGATACGGCGTCAGCTGTTGTGACACTCACTTTCGCGGGCGCTCAACATTTAGCTTGCCTTCAGGCGCTCGTCCCGGAGTGCCACCACGCCCGTTGCAGCCCAGCCGTGCTGGCGCTGCGCCTTCTGCTGGCGATTCTTGGGCGCGGGAGAGGGAGCCAACTGTCCACAGCAGTTGCCCATTCAGCCGGACTCCCCTCCAACCAGTTCAGCCGAAACGGTCCTCTGCGACTCTTTTGGAGGTGACAAGTCCGGGTGGGCGAAACGCGCACTTCCCGCTGCTTGTCCCCCTTTCAAAACACGACAGAAGACGCGCCGTCCACGTTCCGGCCTTGGGGCAGTGGGTGGCAGCTCTGTTGGCCTTCACATTAATGCCAAAAGTACTCGCTCGTTTTCAAACAGTGCGCAAGGTACTATTGCATTGCAGCAGAGCGGCGCAAAGTGAGCCATTGTCCATGTGACCACTTGGGCCAACCAGTCAGCTCGGGTAGGCACAACACTGATACAGGGCAACAGATTGGGCGCCTGAACGCAGCAGACAAGTGGGAAGGTTTAGTGCATGGCTTCAGCCACTAGCTGGGGGACCTCCATACGCTGGGAGCATGTTTCGGCCACTGCGTTGCAAATTTCGGCTGGGCAAAGGGCACATGACAGTGCGAACGACATACACGAGGCACAGAGTGACCTGGGGGCAATTCAATTTTGATCGGCCTTTGGTGCACAATAGGGACCAGCCTAGGCATTGTGTTCTGTGATGAAGTGAAGAATGCAGGATGAGGCATGGGTTGTGACCATTGTGGTGCTCGAGGTAGCGTGATATTATCTGCGCTGGCACCCAGTGAGGAACCTGCATACCCGTCGTGCGAGCAAACAAAAAGATTGATAGCAAACGTTTTTAATGGATTGGAGCTTGTGCGTCAAAGCGGACTTGTGACTAACCCTGGAGTGTAACAGTGTTGAGTCGCGCTGACCGAGCTGTGCTTAATGCCTTGTTAAGTTGCATTAAAGGATGGTTGACAAGAACCGGTCTACTCACAATACGGGTGCGTGCAGCTGAGAGGGAGGATATTGTGAGGCTTCCGCAGGAAGATGGTGAGAATTCCTATAGGGCTTTGTCGAGCGAACCCGCTCGGAAGTAGAATCGCGCTGCAAAGAACTCCATGTGAATTGGTTTGCATATGTCGTATGCATTCATCCTGTTAAACTCGCTGTTAGTCATTGTGCCACATCAGCACAATGATGGGCTCGTGGCAAAAGGCACCTTTGAAAAAGGCAGAACTCGTGGGGAAGCGCAGGCACGTTCATCGCAAAACTAAAGCAATCAGTGCTGGATAGATTACTAAAAATGCAGGCCATGTTGCAACTGCTGAATGGCTATGGAATAAGCCAAAAGGGGCAGTCACTCTGCTTTTGAAAAGGCTCTCATTTATGGCAGAATTCTGGGCACAACATGCAGTTTCAAGGGCGCCACAACGGTGGGGTGCAGTTGGGCAGCAGTGCTCAACCAGTAATGATGATTGAATGAGCAGGCAAATGTACGAAAGTTGTCCCGTACCTTGGGGTGCGCGTCCGCGGTTGCCATCATGTGTCATGTGTCATGGCGTACGATGTCGTACGGCAACCTTGGACGCCGAGCCGCAGGGTGCATCAGAGGCGCACGCATGGCGGCGGCAACTTGTGGCGACGCGCTCGAACATGGGTGCGAGGGCGTGGCTGCCAAGGCACGATGACGATGATGACCATGGCGAAATCCATGGGCTACGTTGTGTTGCTTGCATGGCAGCGGCCTGCCTTGCCGTGCATGGAATTTGGATGCCCACGAGAGGTGCGATGAGCCCAAGGGACGCTCAAAGCCACGACGTGGGGGACTGCTGGGCGCTGCCTGCATGTGAAGACCTGCCCAGCAATGGAGGGCGCGATCGAGGCGTTGGAGCCCGTGGCGGAGGCATGGAGGAGCAGGCGAGGACACATCCTGGCGACCGTGATGAAATTGATGCTGAGCGATAGTGATTGTTTGATGAGACAACATCCTGTGATTCCATTGAGCTGGTTGTGAGCCAGTGGTTGCAAAAGGATAGTTTATTTGATGGGGAAGCCGCGTGGCTAGAGCTTGACAGTGACTTATGAGTGAATAGCACTGATCCTAGGATCAGTGGGAATCATTGGACGTGGGTGATGGAGACAGGTAGCGGATCACAAAAGTGATCAGGGAAGCTGATGGGACAGGCAGACGATAACTTAGGAAGCTGGCCAATAGTGATCCGAATCCTTGGAGAATATTCCAAGGATCCTCGGACAAAGGGAGCAGCCAGCCGGGGATATAAATGGGGGGCATGCAGGGGTGTTGGAAGAACCACCCACCGTGGGAGCCGACCTCCGAGCCGTTGTTTTGGACGAAAATGTAACATGTACCTGTTTGCCTGGGGAAACCTTGGAGCACCGCCTTGCGTGTGAACGTCTAAATGCCGTCCAAGTACAATCGCTGCAAGACATCGATTTGGGAACGCGGCAGGGACCGAGTCCGAGAGTGTGGGCACTGCCCCATTGTCGTGCAACATATGGCGCGTCGATTTGCGATATGTACAGCGATCGTGATGTCGCATTGTGTTCGCATGGCGATTTGGTGAGTTGCGTGAGGGGCTGGTGAGCAGTGATAGTGAGAAAAGCAACATCGGATGCTTAAGAAGCATATAGGCTTGGCGTCGAACGTGCGCTGCAACATTGCCACGCTCATTCAGGTGTGAAGCCCTGTGACGACCATACTTCTGCAAGGTCGAACAGCTCGGAAATTCGCACTACATAGTTCCTTCATAAGCACATACAGCGTTCTTGCTAAAGCTCCCTAAAATTCAGCTGCGTATCGCTGATTGTGGCATGCGCCAGGCTGGAAAGTAGCGCTGCCGCCCAAGCTGCCTCAGAAAACTTGTATCCTCTATGGAACAGCGTAGTTATCCCTCAGTCGAGGTGGTGACGGACGATCGACGTGGATCTGCGACCTGTGATGTGGGTGAAGTGAGCCGTTGCCTGATTGCTTATCAGTTGGCTGTGATCAACTATGATCGACATGAAATCTAGGCTGACAAAGGCCGAGCTGGTCGGCGGAGACACTTCGGCCTCAATGTTCAGCTTTGTTTGCTCACAAGCATTGAATTGAGGTGCCTCGCTTCGGCAGCACATGTTGGAAGAAATTGGAGGCTTGGATCCTCACATTAGTGAGGCAGCAGCAGCAGCTCACCAGCCCTAATGGGCAGCTGCACACGTAGGCTGCTTTAACAATCCCATGTGAAAGGCCTTTGAAGTCACAACTGGAAACATAGTCAGGAGTCCGGCCTTCGTTGTGTGCCATCGAGCCAATATCACGTCCACGAAATCACCCTTTGTGATTCTGGAACCCACCCACCTGCGCCAACTGGTGACGTAGGCCGGACTGGGTTGCAAAAGGGGAACAGCGCTGTGTTCGGGTCGCCAATTAATGGGGTTCATCAAAAACGTTAGTGCATAAATGATATCACGCAGCTGGCGACCCGTGAGATCCAGATTTGGTGCAGAGGGGATGTCGACAGCCTCAACACCTTCGCCATACTGAAAATCGTCCAGTAGGCTGGCGCTCAATGAGGCAGAAACCCCAAAACATCAATCAGGGGTGCTCTATACATAACCCCAAATACGCCCTGGAGTACTGAGGAACACCCAGGTTGCCACTGGACACGTGCGTTTCTTCAGGGGCTGCCCGCCTGGCGGTCTGCCGTGAATTGTGGCGAGACGGATCCAGGAGTGGCGCATTGAGGCGCCACATGGTTGTTTGATGGGAATATGCCCCGTGGGGCATTACATGGTTGCTGACCACGAGAAGTGTGGTTGTTTGGTGTGAATGTGGCCCTTGGGGCACACGCGGTGGCTGATTGTGGCCAGTGGGGCGTCCTGGGTTGAGTTGTGGTGAAGCGGCGGGCGTGTCAGAAAGATTCTGGGTATCAAAAGAGCATCTCTTAGGCATGGGTGGTACTTTTGCCGGAGGGGTGCGGACAGCACGAAGGGGAACTCTGAATTGTAACAGCGGTTGCGTGGGGACCATGTGTGTCTCGCGCGGCGGTTTAGGCGCTCGGCCTGGCTGCCTGACTCCCCTGGCCCTGTGCGCGATGTTCGCCACAGCCTGAGCGCAATAGCGCTCGACCTTTTCGAAGGTCACGGCCAGTCTGTGCCTTTTCTGAGCCGCTTTCCTTGCCGCTGAAGACCAGCAGTGCCAGCGCGGTTTTGCTGCAGAAGCGACCACCCTTCGTCGCTGCACAGCCTTGTCGAGGGGGACTGAAGTGCTTCCCGTATCATACGCCGACGTGCAGTGGACGAGGCAGCCCTGACCCGCGGACCCGACCTCCGTTTTGACTTCGTCGACCGTTGAGGAGCGGTTGCGACGGATTGCGGCGCTCAGAGCGGCAGCTGTGAGAGGCGCTACAAGCGTATTTTTGCATGGCTGGCTGGCAGTTGGGGGTTTTGCTACCCGTTTGAAGCATCTCCTTGCCGTCGCCTCAATCTTGTTGGTCGTGTCGGCATGCCAAGCAGTTCGTCGCGCAGCGCCGGTTCGCGCGAGGGGCGAAGCTTGTTCGTTGAGTGCACCCTCAACTGCTGTGGTGCTGAGGCTGTCGACATGTCTCAGCTGCCCGTTTGAGGGTGGTGCTACTGCGCTATCTCCGGGGACGACGGCCAGAATGGACCGCCGTTCTTTGCAGCTGCAAAGGAGCGCCACAGACACTCAGAGCACAAAAAGTGACATCGTACCAAGTTCAGCAGTAGTGAGCGCGCTGGCATAGCCTCGTTCGTGTAATGAGCATTGCTCTGAAAGGGCGCGGTCCCAAAATAGGAGACCTTGACGTACAAACCCCTCCTTGCAAGCGCACTAAGATTGTGTGTCCGTCAGCACCGGTCAAGGCGAATCCAGACACGTACAGGGAAGGTCGAAATAGTTATCTGCTGACCAAGGTACAGGTGGCGCAGCTGCGTAGTAGCTGGAAGGAAGCCGCAGAAAAATAGTGTGCCTTGAGTGGAACCGTGGAAAGTCAGCCTGTGCAACATAGAAATCAGTCTGTACCTTGTAGCCAGAATGGCTTAGACTCAGCCATACTGGACGTCAAAGGTATATGCTGACAATATCCTGGTGTCGCTAGGAAGTGTTACGAGGGTTGGAAGTCCAGTGAGAGTGGATAGGAGTCTTTCTCAACAGTTGCTCCGTTTTTTGGAAGGCCGTTGGTAGTGCCTTGTTGGATGTGGCCTGTGTGAACTTGCTGTTATTGAAGCCATCCTATTTCAAGGTGATAACCCTCATCAGACAGTTATACGAAACACTTAGCTGTGTTGGTGAATCGTGGATGCGGGGGGAATCTCTGCAAACTGCGAACTTGGCTCTCGATGTTGCCCGCATAATTGAGTTTCTTGTGGAATTCTGAAACCGGCGTGCCCAGCAACCAATAGGGCAATGCCACGACACTGAGCAAACACACCCAGTTACAGGCGTGACTGCTGGACCCGTTTGTGGTCCTAGTCAGTTCCAACTAGCGTGTACTTTCCTTGCCGTGGCGCCAGTGGGCTGCATTATTTCCTTAGGGTGCCTGTGTCTTGGGATCTGGGTAGGACATATCTTGTAATCCATCCCTGAAATCTGACCGTGGCTCGTCAGCCCGACTGGGCAGCCACACGGTGGTCTACGAACACGGGCTTAAATTTTGTGTACACCGATTATCTCCGGTCTAACGTGCCTTGAGAGGAAAACCCAACTGGGCAGGGAAGGACCTGATTTCCTTGATTTCTCTTCGGTGCTTCCCAGGACTCTCACCCTTCTCATGTTTGACAATGAAGCGATGCGCATGTGATGTGTGTGCTCTCAGGACCAGCGGAAGCGTGCTTCAGTGAGAGGAACGAGGCATCTGAACACCGGTGGCGATGGCGTGTTGCGATATGAGAGAATGGGTTGAGGTGCGATGGAATGCCACCTCAAATGCATGGAGCTCAGAATTCAGCCTGGCTCAGACCGTGTCTCACTGAGAGAACTGGCCCTTCCTCTCTGCGTGTCATTGAATGTTTGCAAACGACGTCAGAGCATCTCCTCTGCACTGATCAATCGGCAACATTCTGAAGCGAAAACTATAGGTATGGGTTGGAGTGCATCCGTGATCGGCTGATGGTCGCTATTTGCCAGATACACCCCCCCCAAAAAAAAAATCAGCCGTCTGCTTGCCATACAATCAAATAGCAACACAAGTCCATTGTCCAGCTGCACACTGCCACAGCAGTTCGCTGCCCAACCTGACCCGCGGTGTATTGGCGGCGTTACATCTGCAGCCGACTGCTGCCATAGCAGTTCACCTGCTCTCCCGCCAGGCATCCATTCAGAGGGGGACCACGGATACACCAGTGCTTGCTGAAGTCTGTTTCTGCTGCCGAACGACTTCCTTCCTGTACAAGGATTTTAGTTCCTTCTTTGCAACACGAGCCTCCTTGTTGCCACATTTTACTGCTGCTTTCCTGGCTTTCCTCTCTTCAGTGGTTTCGCCCCGCTTTCTATTTTGATGAGCTTTGTCAGTGCCTCCTTTGGATGCTGATGCATCACTGTCTATTGAAGGCTGGTGGCGTTCTGGTTCTTCTACTGGGAAACCTGTCTTTCCTGACAATACAACTGGCCCTGTCACAGCACAGTACAATCAGGCAACACAATAACGGGCAACGACACTCTCACGACATAGCCCCATCCGCCCCTGAGAGGAAATGGTACAATAATGAATACCTTGCAGTATTGTGTGGTTACTGCCATGGGTGCAGAATATAACACAACTCTCAGAACATACCAAGCTCTGCACCGGATCCTACAAACCACACAGAACTGCACATCAGTAGTGAACAATTCAACACACTGCTCTTACGTACCGATCGTGCCTTTTCCTTTCTGTTTATTACGTCTGGGCTCTTCGATTCGTGCTGGTTGGAAAGACGATGCCCTGGATCGGTATGACAGCACGCTCTCACAATCGAGCCTCTCCCGTGCATGGCAGCCCACCAACACATCCTCCCATGCAGCTCGAGCACCATGTCCATTCCCTTGCATGCCAGCAAGCAAGCGTCACCATGCACACCAATGGCAGCAAATGCTTGAAGCAGTAGCCCCACCACCAGGAGCCAAAATTCGACACTTAACCGCAGGCTAATCACATAGATCGCAGAGACGCCAAAATGCATGTGTTCATCAATGATAAAGCAATGTTGTTGGTAGTGGTTAGGGCAGTGCGCTGGACTCTGTTGTTTACAGTGTAGCACTGTCGTCACCTACCAGCCACAGATTCGTTGATCCTCTGCAGTTTCTTGGTGATTGCTATGACGTCATCATCGCGGTCTTCCAGCATGGCCACCTTTGGTGCAGCCGCAAGTGCCTCCATGCCCCCCGAACCCTCATCCTCAGCAATATCAATAAGAACCTCACCCACCTCGCTCATATCTCTTTCACCAGCAATGCCCTTTTCCTCCAGGCAACCCAGCTCATCGTCATCATACTTCAAAATCATTTGTTCAAACCTGCAAACAACACAGCTCAAACAATCAAACCATGAAGCGCTGGCATCCCATATTCCCTTTGCATCTGAGGGTCACATGGTAGTCAGCTGTCTCATTCAAGAAGTTGCTGTGGCTAAACACAGCATGCTTGAGAGAGGAACACACAGACACACCACCTGAAACATAAAAAAGCTGATTACTGCCTGTCAAGGTTCCATGGCAGCTGAATAGTTTCGTTCAGTTAAGTCGTTGAACAAGATGCCACATTGGCCATGCCCACACAGGGTTGTTGGAGAGAATGCCTTGGCACAACCCCTGCACACCCACACAACACAGCTGCAAAACAGAGCTAATTATTTATGCTGTGCTAATCAGCACATCTGTTCTCCAGGGCAGCTCCTGCCCATCCCTATCCACCATTTTAGCACCAGCTATCTCTGCAGGTGGTGGCCCCACCTCTCATCCAGTAGCCGCAAGTTCTCATTACGCTCCCTTCGACCTTCAAGATCTGCTTCTGAAAGGCCCAGCCACCTTTCTGAGAACACTGAGCGGGTTTCAAGATCTCTGTTCCCAGCTGCACGGGGGCTGCATTCCTCAACTGAATATTCCTCATCGTCAGCATCGACAGGAATAGCATGGTCCATTACTCTGCCCCTTGTATGCATGAATGCACCCATTGTATCATTGGCAGGCACCTGAATCAAAAAAAGCAATGAGAATGTAGGGGCAGTGAACCTGTACTACACCACAGCATGTCCAGATACGTGAACGAGCTTCACTGGTGAAGACAACAACAATCATGGTCTCAAGGACCATATGCCAGTCTGCACAGTGGGCTCCTACATGGGTCTCTTTCCTCCATACGCACTCAATATGCAGGTTAGAGCTTGTACCTACCACTGTTGCCTCCAGCAAAAAATCATCCTCCAACCCATCTGCACCTTCACAGTTAGACTGAACTTCCAGTGCCTCCATCTCAGCCATGAGACTGTCAACCTCAGCAACCTCCCGAGCAACTGCAGGAAAAATATTTGCAACACATCATAGCAAGCAAGAAAAAGGTGCACAGACAAAAGAAAATCTGCCACATCCAAAGTTGCAGCATGTCTGGCAGCATATCTGCAATGTTGCCCAGGTAGAAATGCAGAAAGATGTGGTGTGAGGCATGAAGAAAGTGGCCTTTTCATTTATGGATTTAAGTGCACTGCATAGGACCTGCCGTATGGTCCCTGTGAAGATACCAAGGGGGTATGCCTTTTGCGTTTGCCGTGCAACCTGCATGGCATCTAAAGGACCATAATATCAACAAACCAAAAAAATCATGTGGGAACAAGGCAGATCTTGAGCACGAAGTTCAGCCAGGCAACAACAACCATTGGGGGATCCAGTATTTTTGCCTCACTGCCAGTTGAGGCCAGCCAACTGTGCTATTGAGGCTCTGCCGCAGTATCTATCTTGTTGTTTCTATCACTGGCTTTGCACAGGTGCCGCACTCCACGAGCACAAGGTTGAGAGTAACACACAAAGGCCTCACATCCTTGGATGCACACAAAGTGCAAAACAGGACGACAGGGCACCACAGTTAACCTCCTTATTTTGAGGGCCATGAACACTCCAGCTGTGAAATGATGCGGTCTGCTACTTCACTGGTCAGTGCAATGCTGCCTTGCCTCCTTACTCACCTCTCCCTTTGATGTTTCCCTTGACCTCTCTGGAAAACGCTGATGTTGTGCGATCATATAATTCTTCCTCACCGCTTACCTACACACGAAAATAAACAAGGCACAGCTCAAGGGACAGTTCATCCGGCCAAAACGTTTAAAACGACTGTGCTAGGTGGCAACTAAGACCACACCATGGCAGTCCCTTAGGTGGATGCAGAGAAGGGACTTGTGCCCGAGAACACTGCGGGATGACTGCTGCGAGATGCAGAGCACAGTCCAGCATACTTTCTTACACATGTGCACATTGTTTACACGTGTGCAATCCCTCTTGGACTGTGTGCCCTTCAATCAGCTGAAATCAAGTCGTCAGAATGCAAGCAGAGATCACCAAATGGGCTGCACACCTCCCGTGTCTGCTTGAGTGCCGGAAGTTGCCTGGCATCCACAACCTTCTGATCTTCAGATAAGGGAAGTGTGTTGTTGGCAGCAACAAACACGCCTGAAACAAATCAACAAAGGTGCACATCAGAAGGGTAGTACTACTCTTAAATGTCAAATTCGAAATGGCAAGGCTGATGGGCATGCTGCTGCCAAACACTTGTTGCCAACTTCGGTACCCTGCTCCAACAGCTCCTGTGGTATCATCTGTTTGCTACATCCAGGAATAGGTGTTTGACTCAAAAACGTCCTCTTGTGGCATCGGCCGTGGTGTTGGTGCTCCTTTCACAATTCTCAAATACTAAGCGTACATGCCAATACACAAGTCCCAATGTCCTGCTGTCCTCAATATGACTGCAAACAGGAATCGCGATTTCAATTTCACAGCGATTGTACTCTTCCTGAGTCGGAATTGGAGCGTTTCCACTTGCAGCGGCGGCTGGATTGGCCCATGTGACCAAAGTTGGCATGGCACGGACAGAGCTTTTGTGGGGACATCAGTGGCTACGGATATAGATCAGCATACGGATATCGTTCAGATTCACAACTTTACCAAACAGCTGGTTCTACATACATGTGCATTATTGAGACCCTGCGTCCTGAGAAGGGTATCCTTTCAACCTGCTGAGAGAGCCCAGTGCCCACAAGCACACAGCATCCTCACAATCTTGGCCTCTTTCTGTTGGGCCTGATGGCCCAGATGAAATTATTTAATCTGTGTATCTTTTTCATCTCTATATCTATGGCGCAACTATTTCCAAGTTGCTTGGCTGCAGCATGCGTGGCACACTCTGAAGTCCAAAGAACAGACTGGCCTTGACCACGATGGGCACTTAGGAGGCGCACTCGATCGGTCTGGCTGGGCCATGTTGAAGCAAAGGCGTTCCTCCTAAAGTGGGGGCCACTGATAGTCGAGCATGAGGCCGTCCATCACCCTACAACCAATGGCTTGGGAGAGCTCATGGACATCGGGGACAGTGCCTTGAGCCAAGTAGGAAGATGATTGCGTGTGTGAGTTTGGGGCTCAGTTTTGGCAGTGTGGGGAAGGCCACATACATGGGGATGGGCAGTGAGCTGGCCCGATGGGTCAGTTCTGTGACGAATGACAGGATGGAATGGCTGACTGGAGGGTCAGTCTATAACATGGGATTGAGTGAGACTCCACACCTGTAATCTGACCGGCATACCCGACGGCTTGCAAACAAAACATGCCCAGTGAGCAAGGCCATCTTGCACGGAAATCTGCAATTGCTGCAGATGTTGTGTGGGCCAATTTCGGCTTCATTAAGTTCAAAGTCCATCATTTAGCAGCTTGCAGTCCTCCCATCACTTCCTGAAAGATGGCATTCGTTCTTGGGAATTGCCATCTCATGAATACCAAGGACTGAAAATAGTCAGCATCCACAAGGACACCCTCAGGATTGTTTCCAACTTGACAAGAAAGCATGTTCAAAGTTGGTGAGCAAAACTGACAGGACGACTTGTGAATGGATGGCAGTATGTTCTGATGCAAAGAGAGCTTGCAAGGAGCACCCTTCTACTGAGCAGTGTGCCCAGATCCACTGAATGTTGTTGAGACCAAGGTGAACCCCAAAGGGGAGAATAGCACAAGGGGCTATTTCCTTTTCGGATCCTTTGTTTGAAAGCAACGTGAATTTCGAGTGTTGGTGAATGCGCTTGAAAGTCAGTTGACAACAAGTCCAACACCTTTGCTTGATTCGACTTGGGAGTTGCTTCGTCTCGAAGCTGAAACACTGAAGAGCCACGTCGACGAGGCAACATGTGCTCAAAAGGAGCACAGAAAGGCGAGCTGGGTACAGGAGCTGGCAACCACAAGTCGAAACCACAAGGTGAAGGCAAGGCTAGCGTCGGTAACTCAGCCAAGAGCAGCGGGACGTCACAATAGTCCCAAATTGGCAGATTGGCACTTGCGAACAGGAAAGGTCTGCTGCCTCCTTGGTTTGGCTATTGTGTTTAGTTCACGAATGTAAGAAATCCATGGTGACAAGTAATAAACAGGGTAAATAAACAAATGAATCGATCAAGTACAAAATTGCCTGACAGCCAGACCTGGGAGGCACTTGAACTAAGCATGTGCAGCAGAAGTATAATTGGGAAATCACGGATTGGATGAGCAGATAAAGAGGGGATCAAGTGCTGTGGTGTTAGTACAGTAGTGAGCAGATGGTGCCAATGCCTTTTGCAGCCTGTTGGGCAGGGCCTCAGGAGAAATGAACCATGCCAGTAAGCAGGATCCCTGCTTTAGAATAATGCAAAAGAGCAGACCCAAGGATAGGACTATTGAATTAGGGCGATGCTCAAAGGAAATGGGAACCATTTGCCAAGGGACAAATGTGTCCCGCAACAGAATCTGCTAGTCAGGCCTGCTACAAGTCGGTACTTTGGAAGCAGCACTAGGATTGCAAGGATATAAACATGTCCGCTTGTTTAATAGTACTCAAGGCAAATTGGGGAAAGAGGAGCACGTGGGTGCAATTAGATCGCCAAGCGAATGATGGCAAGCAACTTGCAGTCAATAAGGATTCAAACGACGGCAGTGGTAAGATATGGGCTAAAACGAGGTATCGACCAGTCGCATTATCTCGAAGGGGGCCTTTGAGCGCCTTACTGCAAGTACGCTTGGTTCCCTGCTCGATGCACTTACCCCTTTGCCACCACGTCCGTTGCGCGTGTGGCACCTGTGCGATCAAGGATTGCACCCTGAACGCCACAGCGGATGAAGGTTGATGGTTAGGGCGGATGCTTGGGTGTGCGGATGTCTGATTGCGGAGGGACACAGGCGCGTGACGGCCCTGCGACCGTGCAGTTACGAGTTTCTAAACTGATTCTCTTGTGAGTCACGCTGAGCGCTCTTGAACGCACCACTGCGGCCGCTCTTTCCACAATTTTCTGCGCACACAATCAACAACAGATCGCTTCACCTCCAAGCCTCCCCTTCCTGGCCTCCCCGCCCCCGGCGTCGCGCTCCTCCGGGATGGCCTCTAGGCCGCCGCGCCCAACGCCCGGGACCCTCAGGTGCCGCAGGTAGTCGTAGCCGTCGTCCGGCAGGCCCAGCCGCACGATCTCCCGCCGGCGCTCCTCGGACATCGCCCCGTCCTGGCCGTCGAACGCGGCGTCCGCGGCGAAGGGGAATGGGATTTGGAACGGCGGCAGGGAGGATTCGGAATCCCTCGTGGAGCTAGGCCCCGGGAGTTCGTCGACGGGGACCAGCACGCGTTCGCCGGCGCAGCCATCTTCTTCGCCGCCCGCCGCGCTTGCCGAAGTGTCCTCGCTGCGGAAGACCAGCTGGTAGGTCGTCGCGCGGCGCTTGTCAATGAACTGCCTGCGCCGCCCCATGTCGTCGCTGCCTGCAGGGGGAGGATTGGGGCAGGTCTCTTCATCATGGGAGCTTTCTGCGTTTGGTTCAGTGCAGAAGTTGCCCCATTGCGCAGAAAATGGCGGCAGTCATGTTGAACATAATGAGGAGGGCCAGGCCATTGTAAACCATTCTGACCGCTCCTATAATGGAATTCGTCTTCGTTTCATCAATATTCAGCATCCAGGCCAGCCACCCGAGTAGGGTCACCAAGAATTCCCCAATCCACTGGATGCCAGCGCCCAGGAACCTCACACCTCGTCCGACAGCGCCAGCCAACGCCGCCATGACGGCAGCCCCTTCCACGGGCGATCCCGGAAAGCTCATAGTCATCGCGCACCTCACCGCAGAGGCCTCCACCAGTTCTGTACGACGCAACGTCCTCACCGCGCCCACTCGTTGCGCGTACCGGCCGATCCGCACTCCCGTAGGGTGCTACGGCACTCCAGCACCGGCGACGGCGCCCGCCTTGCGTAATGCGCCGCCCTCAGTCACTCCGGATCCCACAAACGTCCCACCAGCACTCGGCGTGAGTGCGCGGTACACCACAGGGCCCCGAGGCTCCTTAGGCCGGCTCACGTACTCTTGGGTAACGTGAGGGGGCAAGGCCAGCGGTGGCCGAGCCTGGCGGGGGGCTGTGGTGCGACGGTGGGGAGGTACAGGCGGCTGGGACACACTTTGCCACCGGAAGCGCTTGCCGGGCTGGGACGAACTTTCCCAGCTGACTATTTATTACAGAACTGTCTTTTGGGTACAACCGGCAACCATGCGTTCACTCCTTCTCGTCATGCCTCCCCGTTCACTCATCCAACTGGACACGACACGACCCAATCACAGCAAGTTTCCGGTACAATCCGTCCCGTCCGGTCACACGCCAGCCAGGACACCCCAGAGATCATTCTCCGCCAAGGAAATCCTCGGACAACTCCATCCTTGCCAGCTGGCTTCCGGTGGCTACCCTCCGTCTCGTCATCCGCCAGCCCGGACACCGTCACGTCACGACTGCCAGCTTGTCTCCCCTCTTCCCGTAATCCGCGCCCATCAACCGCCGAATCCCGGCGGGAGTGATGGCGTCACCGCGTCCTCGCTGCGTGTCCCATCAAAACCGGGTGGCAGGGTTGGTGTCGTCATCGCGGTTGTGCCGAGGGTTGCTGGTACAGCGGGTGGTCCACCAGCGGGCGCTTCATCCATGACGTCATCGTGGACCTGCCCCTGTCGCCTCGCCTCGCGTCGCTGACGTCGGATGGCC